CACTGATTATGTAATTTTAAGAGTCACTACTCTCAAGTCACAGATCAGTGTTCCACCTTTGTAAAAATCTGATTCTGCTCAGGAAAGGAACACAGATTTCAGAATAAACTATCTCAAATTAAGACTGATGACACCACTTCTGCCTGTTTTGATGTGGGGTGGGCAATTTCTTCTGACAAATGAATCTTTTAATACCCATTAATGCAAAGAATGGCCAAGAACAGCAGTGAACAGAAAAATGCATACTGCACATTATCATGAAGCAAAGAGACTTTTAGATTAAAATTCAGATAATCTGGTATTTTGTCCAAAGCACGTAAGACAGAAAGATAAAAGAAAATCAAACAGTGGATTATAAGCACTTTTTAAACTTCTTTAAATCCTCTTGGTGCATAAGGAAATGGTTGGCTTGTCATACTCAAAAACTAGTGCTCAATGGCTCTATGTCCAAATGGAGACCAGTGAAAAGCGGCTTTCCTCAAGGGTTGGTATCAGGACTGGTGCTATTTAACATCTTTGTCAGCGACACGGACAGTGGGACTGAGTGAACCCTCAGCAAGTTTGCTGATTATACCAAGCCACGTGGTGCGGTTGACACACTGGAGGGAAGGGATGCTATCCCAGAGGGACCTTGATAGGTGGACCCATGCCAACTTCATAAAGTTCAACAAGGCCAAGATGTCATTGCTTTGGGCCTCCTAGGATATTCTAATTAATTCAGGAGAATGGCTGTTAAAACCAAAGCATATAGGCAGGGCAAAACTTCAAATAAAAACAAAAATTTGCAACCGGAGGTCTTGCTCCTTTCCAAGGATTATGCATTTATAATACATATCTAAAGGTGGCAGCAACTGTTTATTCTTATAGGCCCAGAATCAACCTTAGAAGAACTTTAAATGCTGTATCACAGGGTACTCTACAGAAATGAGTCAAATTCATCCCCAGTGTCAGCCTAGTATTATGTCAAGAGTTAAGTTGTTCTAACAAACACAATCTGTAGATTACAAAATTTCTGCACGCCACTCATCTCCAACTTTGTTGTTACACAACTGATATAAAGACAGTAAAATCTGATGAGCTTGGGCACTGAATAACAACGTAACATAAAGATAACCCAAAATAGACAGGTGCCAGTATGAGAACACATTATAAAGGTATAAAAGTAGAAGACATTTCCTATCACAGTTAAAACACCCTCTGCCTACAAATGCCTGCCTTTACTTTCCTCTCTAATACAATATCCAGAATGCATGTAAGTGATGGATCAGGCTCTTCTAAACAAGACAAACTTGAAATATTTAACACAAGATACTAGTGGGAGGAATCTTCTTGCAGTCTTGAAATTTGAATTGAAAAAAATTGAACAAATTTGAATTTGTTCTTTGTTCTCAGAATTAGCATTGACACCTTAAATCAGTTTTCATTATTGCTGTAACTACAAATGCAACTAATCGTGTTACAGAAAGCAGTCTAGCCTATTCAACTCAACTATATATTTACAGGATAAATGAAAATAAAACAAAAAACAGTTCTGGAGAAGAATCAGAGGCAAAGCATGTGTGTGTGCATGTGACGTAAAAGAAGGAAGGCAATGAAGAAGGTCTGCAGTTCCACAGGATGCCCATATTTAATTACAGCTAAGCTCCTAAGTACTTCCTGCAGAAACAGGAGCAGCACGAATTTCACTTTCTTTACTCCTATCCTTCAGGAAGGAATAAGGCTCAATAAGATAAGCAAGCTTTTAAACAACCCCTTCAAGTTCTTGTACCTTCAGTTTCACTTGGAAGGAAGTGTTTTTTGGTGGCTTTTTTTTTTTGAAAGTACGCATTAATTACAAGATACACATTACATGCATGATCTGAATAGCTATATAACTACATACATAAGCAATGGGTACATATACACACATTCTATGAATTAATTTAAAAAATGCACTTCGGGTATTAGAAATCAAACTGCCTAACCATCTAAAAAGAATATGTATTTTCACATCCTCCAGAAAGTTAAAAAGAATATCACTGAAATCATAAATTCTACCTTAGCAGAGGTGATAGTTACGTGCTTCATCTAAAATCTGACCACACCAAGGTTTAAGAATGATTTTAATATATTGCTTTGGCTAATTAGGAAAATGTCCCAACAAAACAGTAACCTAAAAAACCCCACCAAAAACCATCCTGCATATTCTGAACTACATCTAACTGATTTCACACTACATCCTCACGTTTCTGTTCTTTGGTTTGCTCAGCTACTGTTGGAGCTTACTTTTTCCAGTCAGGATGAATTTGAGATCAGCAATATACTTCACTACATTTTCCATAAAACCTCTGATATTACAGGTTTCAGACTAAATAGGGTTTTGGTCCACAGCTGGCCTATCCCTGGGCTTCAAAAACAAGGACTAGCAGAACTGGAGGTATCTGCCCAGTGTTTGAGCCTGCCCACTACAAACTCACAGAACAGCTTCTAAAGTCAATGAATGGTGCTGCTTCTGGTCAAGTAGTCCATTTGCCTCAGAATAACAGACCAACTAACATAACCCAGTGACTGAACTAAATTCACGTTATTACATATTAAGAAGGAGATCTGCCTTTAATTGGGAGATATTTCAAAGTTGTTATGAGAGTTATTCTTTTTATTTTTAATCAGTGGAGGAAGCACAGCGCCAGTAGATAAATACATTAAATACAAAGTAGCACAAAAACTTTCAAAGATGATAGAAAGATAAGTGAAATATATCTCCATGTATACTGGAACATTAGGAAAAATGTTAAACAAAATAGCAAAAAAAATAACTTTCCCACAAATTTAGTTTGAAAAGCTAATTTAATCTATTTTTTCATCATTAATTGTCTATATTTTCAAGAAATAATAGCGTGGGTGCTAGAACAATGCTTTTGAAACTGACTAAGAACTTATCTGTATGCTTGAACACACTAATAAAGCTTGTAATTATAGTACATATACAGTATTTCTGTAGAAAACTAACCATTGCCTTAAAAGTATCAATCTGAATATTGAAAGGAACAGCAGATGTTTAAACAGACTATTTCAACTTATGTATTACAAGACCATTTCTAATAAAACAATTGTGTTGTATTCTATAATTACTGATACCAGCTATTTGCTAATCCAGAGGTTTTTTCTTTTTTGTAGACTTACCATTACTCAGTGAGAAACAAAGAAAGTCACTGGCCCTGTACCATGTCCATAGTCTGTACCATGTATGTAGACCACACACATGCACAGTTGGAAGGACAGGCATGGAAGATGGGAAGAGTCACCACCTGGTATCAGAGGATGGCTGAATAAGGCCATTAGCTACAGAGATGCAACAGAGAGAAAGCGGGTATGTTTCATGGGACATGGTATGGTCTAGTGTGTGTTAAGACGAGTAAAAGTAACGTTGAAAAACCTCAGTGGAAATACAATATTTTCCACTGTGATTACACTTGTTCTGGATATAGGTTAATACTTGGGTCAGTTGAATCAGGAATTCAATTTTAGACAGGTCAAGTTTATGAGAATATAATAATTTCAGAGGCTGAAATGTGTGGTGGTTTATCAACACTGACTTTTAAGCAGGAAAGATGGAAGTGAACATAATTAGCCAAGAGAAGACAAACCAAGGCTTGATACAAAACTTCTTCTATATGAAAGAGAAAAATTGTAGAGAACATCATCTTCCCTCAGCTCAGAAACTGCTCCTCCCTCCTCCCACCACACCAAAAAGAAAACAAAGGAAATCCTATTAAAGTGGAAAGGGTAAACACATGAGAGGAAGTTTATAAGACATGTTGTGCCTTTTTTCTTAGTTTGAGAAGACACTAAAAGAAAAGGATGACTGACAGAACAATTCTGACTTGTGACCACAAAGTTAGTGGTAATCTCAGTGTCAGCAGCTAAAATGCATGCACCACAGAGATGATTTCTCCCTTACTGATGTTTATCTTTGATGTTGTAGAGGAAAGGGATGCAAGATAAAATAACAGCCAGAAAACTGAACATACAAAGGTGCCTGCACAAAATATAGTTCTGATAATATCGTACAGGAACATACTTTAGATTTATGAGAGACGAGAATTACCAAAAAGAACTGACTAAGGCTCTCCACATTTATAATTGATGTCTATCGGGGGAAGAAACAACAACTAAACAAAACACCAAGACACTTCACATTTCTCTTCTACACTTTGGAGATTCATTGAGAAAGAGAAAAAAGATTTTTTTATTCCAGCTGTGAAGATCACATGAGGTGTAAGAGCTTTTAAAATTATTGTTTTAGAGAAGACAAAAAAGAGACTGTTTTCAGAAATTTCAGACTAACATAACAACTAAACCAGTTTCTTTTCTGAAGGAATGCTTTGTCAAGTATGTAAAAAATCCTCCCTTAAAAATAGTTTTTGTTGCTCAAGAAGTGGACAATAAATACCAATTTCACATATCGACCAGCATTTTTTTAGCTAACCAGATGTATTTTACTCTAATCCTGGAAATTCACTTTAAGATGTGTGACTTGTGAAATGTAACATAACTCTAAACTAAATGTTCTCTGCCGAGATCAAAGTAAGTTACAAAAAATCCATGGGAAATTTAGTAATAACCACTTTTTCATGTGCTTGTGAGGAAATGGCAATGTAGACCAGGCTTTTAGTTGGAAATATTTCAGGTTATTCAGAAATGTTACTGGATGAATGGAATTAGAGAGACAAATTAAAATCAAGGTTGCTAAAAGAGGGAGGAGAACAACTTCTCACATGGTAGGTAAGGGATGTTGCCTCTAGAACTGAAGACTAAGGAAGCAAAGATAGCAGAAGAATGGGAAGTAGCGATTGATGGAGAAATGCTGAAGTAGCGATTGATGGAGAAATGCTGAAGCCTAGAAGTCTACTACCATGAAGTTAGCATACTCAAGACGCAATTACAGGCTCAGTTCAACACAGAATAACTCACATGCAAATAATTTCAAGTCCAAAGTACTCCAGCTTCAATTGACTTACCTCCCGTAATTTTAGATTGGCAGTTGATAAATTCTGGCTTCTTGTCTGTAAGGTATCGCTGACAAGTGTGATGTAGAACCTGAACAAATGTGCATTTTTCTGAAGCTGTGCTTGCTACCCATTGGTCAAAAGCATTTTCAAATAGTAAATCAAATTCTGGGGAATCCTAGAATAAAAAAAAAACAAACACTACTTTTATTCCAGTTTTATAAATGATTTGGACAAAAGATACAGAGTTATTACTTTTTAAAAAGATATTGTGTTGGAAAAAAACAAGTCATGCACCTCAGGTCCACCCTGGAATTATTTTTCCTTTGCATATTTTTGGCTGCAAAAAAATCCAAGCAAGCAGAAAGTGTTTTTTTTCTTGCAGGTATTTTTAAAGAGTAATATTAAATTATGACAAAAATACCTGAAAACAAAAATCCTTTAGACCAAAAAATTAAAAGTAGGAATCCCATAAGAAATCTTTGCTATCTACACATATATAGTCACTTGTGTCTATACTATTAAAGGATTTGTGCCTCTCAGCAGACAATCTACCTTCATGCTGCATTAGGAGAAGATATGGTTTTGCTCTTGATGCTGAACCCAAGAAGGAAAAAAAAAGCAAGTCCTAGTTATTGTATTTAATGTATTATCATAAAGTGTTCCATAGGTCTCAGGATTACATGAAAAAAAAAGTACTTTGAGAATAAATCAAGAACCAGCTCTATACATGCATCAACCACCAAAGCAAATGAATTTTATGTACAAGTATTGCTACATATTTAGCAATACCTGCTAAATATAATTTTGTAATCTAATCCAGTAAAGGCCTTTTTTGAATCAATGACACTGGGAATGCATAGGAAGATGAGTTTGAAAGGAACATGTCTAAGCTTAAGAACTTGATAGGACTTTTCAATCTGAGAGTATCCTAAGTATCTCTTATTTACATAGCTGCATAGCAGATGCTAGGAAAGGGTGTAAAACTAATGTTCCTTATATATTTGTCATTGCTATAATTTTTATTGTCCCTTTACTCAGCGAAAGTAGAATTCTAACCCCTGCATGACATAAAGCAGTGGCTAGAGGGCTTCTTTTTTGTAGGAAAGACTGTACTGGGTTGTAAGAGAATTTGGAGCATGGAAGTTAAAGACGCTTAGGTGGATGATTAGAACACAGCTTTGAACAAACCAAGAAGGTTAGTCACAAACATATTTTGCTGTACAATGAACAGTAAGTCACTTTGTGATCACATAGTACGAGCCACATTCCTAACTTCTAATTCTGCTGTTTTACTACTAAAGATTTGTATTCGTAAGCTTATTATATATTAGTACGACATTGTCTTGCTTGAGACAGCTCAAAGAGGGTTGTATATTCCACATTAAATAAATATTTTCAGAACTATTAATTGGGGGGGTTGTTTGGCTGGTTTATTTGTTTTGTTTTGTTTAAATCAGTGTTCACATGCCATTAGCAACTAAACTACACCATCACCCTTTGTAGAAAAAGAAATGCAGAAGGATCTCAGGAGAGAACTAACTGTCCAAGAAAAAAATGCAAGGTTCACAAAAATTGACAAACACGAAGCTCATTAACCTCTCTTGTCCTTGCTTCTACTTACTGCTCTATCTCAAAACACAGCTCATATTCCAAAATGGACCCCAAGAGGCTTACATCTCAAGACAAGCCCAACAAAGCTCTTATTTTTCTCTTTACAGAGAAGAGTGTAGGAAGAAAAGCAGGGAAAGACAGGAAGAAAAAAACCCCTATGACTATGAACTTTGGCCTCCTCCTGTCTTCCTTTCAAAATATATTTCACGTATTCCATGGAGTTATTTCTATTTTTGAGAATTTGCACTTAATCTTACCTTTCCAGATGCCTTTTGAACTGAGAAAGAGTGCCTGATTCACAAATATGTTATAAAGACCTCAGTTTTCATTTTCTAGAACTGTTCAAACTCACCCGATTAGGGTCTATACCATTGACCTGGCGAAGCTGCTCGAGCATCCACTGCGTTCTCCTGACAAAAGACGTAGAGCCTTCAAATTGTTTCACCTTTGTAATAGATGCTTGAGCTGGTTTCTTGTTCGTCACTGAGCATTTAAAAGAAAAATATATAAGTGAAATGGGCTAACGGTTTCAGGAACACGCCTTTTAATTCACTGCATCAATAACTGGTTTGCTGATGTATAATGTCACACAAAGTAAATACACATAATTGATTCTGACAGTAGAACATATTCTCCTTCCTGGATAACATACTGAAAAGCACATTCCTTATTGTCAGAATGACGGTACAATGCCAAACAAACATTATACTACTCAAAATTGGATATATTTTAGCTATTATTGATTTTTATTGCCAAAATCCTATAGAAATAAGAACTAAACCAAAGGTCTTTCCATTTGCATTCTTACAATAACTTTGCTGTTCTCTTTTTTTCTCTGCACTAAGGTTTCTCATACCCAGTCCCTTATTTAAGTCCATTTATGTACCTTTAAAAATATGTTATTTTAGACTGACTTCCACATTGGTGATTGACTGCAATTAAAAATCTCCTGTCTTTTAAAATTATGTGACATTTCCAGTTTCCAGTCAACAGACTGTATGCACTGTATGGAGAAAGCAAGCCCATCAAATCCAACAACAGTCTGTGACAAATAAAGTTTAAAGAATCAAGGAACTAAAGATCCCTCAAAAAATATTAGCTACTGCAAACAAAGACCGTAAGCAAGAATGATCAAACTTGTTATAAACAAAATATGTCTTAAAAATCACAAAGTAGGTGATATAAGACTTCTCTGCATTAGGAAAAAACCCACAAAAACCAACAAACCAAAACCCAATGTAAAGCACTCCGATTAGTGTATTCTTAACTCAGCACCAGGTTTTCAAGGAGTACTTACACATTAAAGCTAACTTTTCAACATCAGGAAAACCAGCTTCCTGTAGTAGACTTTTTTCTCTAAACAACTTTTTTTTCATCAGTATAACTTTTAACGTCCATAGAAATTTTATAAGGAGTTTTAGGCACTTTCTGTAGTCATACTCTGTATTTAATTTACATGTTATTTATCTATTCCTGTATACCAAGTCACTTTCAAACACATTTACTTTTTTTTGTTAAGAAATATTTGGTAGAATCATTGTACTGCACAATCTACTAAACTAAACTTGGTGTGTAATTTATTTTTTCTCCTTAAACTTTTCATTTCCAAAAATCCTTTCATCCAAAAAAGTATTACTGGAAAAGTAATTTTTCCTGCTTTTAGATGCAGGCAGTTAAAGAAGGTTTTCAAATAATCAAGAATTCTATAGGAAGATTGTTTATTTTTGTGCATCTCTTTTATCCAAATAATCAGGAAAACTAACAGACTTCTCACTCTGAAGAGGCACATTGCATGTACTTCTGCACTGTATGACTTACAGTCATACAGTAAATAAACACTGATCATTCTGTACATTTAATAAGTTAATATTGTTTTTTAGGATGAAAACTGACTAATGCACAGTTCGCTGTTGTGATGTTAAATGTACTCTGGAATAGACTGGCAAACTCAGATTAACATGAGAAATTTTTCAATATCTCAGATTTACACATTTTTAGTTCAGTGTGTGTTAGTGAACATGAAAGTCTAGTGCCCTTATGAGAACTTAATTTGATAAACAGAAAATTAATTTCCAAGGAAATTCTAGCAGGGAAAAAAAATAATTAAAAAAATCAACAGATGCTAACATTTCACATGGTAAATAACGCTTTTTAAGAAGTTACTTTGGAATAGAAAGCACAGTTGGACTCAAGGTATTGACCAAATTATTGATAAGAATGGAATAAGCAGATTGCCAGAAGTCTCTTCATCAGCCACTGAATCACTGAGAACCACATTGGTGCTGCATGCGATTCAGAATCACATGTCAAACAGTACAGAACAGAGAAAAAAACTGTAGAACATAGGATCAGAAAGGTAGCAGCAAAATTAGATGAGAACAACTACTGAAAGGAGATTAGTATTAAGTGTTCACTGATGGCTCAATGGCCTATGCACCCAAGACTAACAATATCAAGAAAGCAGAAGTGACAGGCATCCTATCCGTTCTCACATATCATAGACAGGTTCTGTTTTTACTTCAAGTTTACACACTACTGTCTGAGAAACATCCAGATGAGTAGACCAAAAATAAATGGCTCTACCTCCCCTAAATCTAATCTTTTTAATATTCACTCTTATACTTTTTGCCAACTCCAGCGATCACTTTAGCAGATTGTATAACATCCCAGTAGACTATATTTCTGTTTCTGTACAAAGCAATACTAACAGAAGGCTATTTAACAGTGGCTCAAGTTTTATGGTCTGTGGATTGTTTCCTTTACATGCAAACCAAGCATTAATCATAGCAAAGTAAGATGTGTACTAAAAAGAAAAAAAATATGCATACTATACATATGCCGTATAACATTAGTAGCATTATAAAACAAAGCATGCAAAACTAGGAACCACTAGACAGAACAATTGCGTGATCATACTTTTTCCCCCCTCAGAAACTAGTTATGAGATGTATAGCCTGAAATATTAGTACAGCAAACTTCTCACTGCTCTTAAGTCTTTTCTACATGGCACACATTGTAGTGATCTTGAAAACAGAGGTCATTATATACTTCAAGGTGAAAATATCACATTTTACAGATATGATAGTTAAACACTAAATGTCGCATCTCAAAATCTCTATACACTGTTCGGCTGATTTGATTTATCCAAAAATCTAATTCTCCAAACTTCTCTGTATAGCACTCTCAATGATCAGCAGCCCTGTCTTCAGCTGGAGCTGTAAGTGCTCTGTACCACAGCAAAAGAAGATCATATTAGTGCCTAAATTTCAGAAACTCTTAAATATTCCTACTAGTGATCAACTAGAAAACCATCTTGATTAGGTGATTGTTTCTATATCATCCAGCATACAGTAACTCTGGGAGAGGCTGAGAAGGCTTTTCTTTCACAGAAAGGCTTATAATTATCGGGTATTTCAGTTGTCTTAGATAGAAATTAATTCTTAACTTAGTTGATATTATCTTCTTGGAAAAACTGCAGTTCTCCCATTCATAGGTCTCACACCTGTAATTAGTGTGCACAGCCAAACAGATCTACTTGTGTTTCACCTTTTGTGACTTGGTATTTTATAAAAAAGCTAGCATTTCTTAAACATTAAACAACCCCTGCTACCCACGAACCAACCAAACATGCTTTAAAATCTTAATTTAGACACTGACAGCTTGACAGTAGTATGGCAGTCAGTACCACTCTGTGAAACCCTTTGGCAGCTGGGAAAACCATCCACACTAGCTGCTCATTATGCTGCTTTGAAAACTAGAGCAAACAAATCACTGAGTGGCTGTTACCTTGCAATTCTGAAGGTTGTTACCTTAAATCGGAAAAAAAAATTGGAAGCAACTACACGCTCCTAGCCACATTCCCTCTTGACAAATCATTTAGATGTATTTACTAAACTTTTCCACAATCATTATTTACCTTAATAAAATAAAATACATCATTTAAGTTATGTATTTAAGTGGGATTTTTTCGTTTGGTTTTAGGTTTTTTTGGATTTTTTTGGTAATAGAAAGTAACATTCGGCCTTGAGTAGATAAAGCAAATTCATTTGAAACCCACTGATTGATGTTAGGTCTGTAAGGTATTTCTGTGTGTCATCAGATGCAAGAAAACAAGATGCTTAAATTATTATTTATTTATTTTTAAAGGAACATACTGTTATTGGTAAAGCAAGAAAGAATGGGTGACAAGTCAGCTACAACAATTTATGATGGAAGACACTGTGAGGTTTGATTTTGGAGTTTTTTATAGACTAGATTAACACACAAGCAGAATTTGCCAAGTCAGAAACAGCACTATTTCTTACAGGCTTGAAGACATTATTAACCATTTTGCATTGTATCAAGGAGGTTGTTAAAGCTGGTGAGGCATAAAATTAAGTGAAATACTTTGTTTCAAAAGCAAATCAGAGAACATGAGGCAGAAACAGTCAGACCAGACTTCACTTTAGAGAATGCTGTGACAATTAGAAGTCACTGTTCTCATAATTTCAAACACATGGAAACAAACATATTTGCATTCCAGACCTCAGCTAGAACCCAGTGCCATGTGCCTGTCTAGCATCTTTAGCAGCAAATCGGTACAGAAAGCTAAGTGAGACAGCCCCACTTCATCTCATAAACACCCCAGAATACATTTTCTTAATTTTTATACTCTTCTAATGTAACTTTACTTGAATGGAAAAGCTAAAATAATGAAAAATTGTTAATTTTTCAAAAATCTACCCCAAAATACATGGCCTTTGTTTAGGGGCTGATGAGGGGCAAGTTGAAAGCCTGTGGGTAAGAATTAAGGGTCAGGCTGGTGTGGGTGATAGAGTTGTGGGGGTCTACTACAGACCTCCTGATCAAGATGAAGAAGTTGATGAGGCTTTCTACAGGCAGCTGAAAGCAGCCTCACAACTACAGTTCCTAGTCCTCATGGGAGATTTTAACTACCCCGACATCTGCTGGAAGACTTACACAGCCAGCCTTTCACAGTCTAGGAGGTTCCTCCAGTGCATTGATGATAACTTCTTAATGCAAATGGTGGACAAGCTGACTAGAAGAGGAGCGCTGCTGGATCTTGTACTTACCAACAAGGAGTACCTTGTTGAAGCAGTGGTGGCAGCCTTGGCTGCAGTGATCACGAGATGGTGGAGTTCAGGATCCTGTGTGGAAGGAACAGAATACCCAGTAGGACCAGAACCCTGGACTTGCACAGGGCAAACTTTGGCCTCCTCAATCAACTGTTAAGGGAAATCCCATGGGACAGGGTGCTAGAAGGTAAAGGGGCTCAAGATAGCTGGTCAACATTCAAGGACCACTTCTTGCAAGCACAGGATCAGAGCGTCCCAATGGTTAGGAAATCTAGTAAGGGAGCTAGGAGACCTGCATGGTTAAAAAAGGAACTGCTGGGCA